GGGAGATAAACTGAAAAATTCTCAAATCAGGAAGTTGTGTGACCTGGGCAGAAACACTGAGGAGCAGGGAGGAGGTGATAAGGCAGGAAGGGAGGAAAGGAGACCACAATGGGGCAGAGAAGACCCAGTGCAGCCACTGCCGCCTGAGTGTCCCTGGGCAAGTCCCTCTACCTCTCTGATCCTCAGTTTCCCCAGATGAGCACATGGGTGCTGCTTCCTTCCCCTGGGCTTGGGAGGGTGGCAATTAAGGTGGGAAATGTGCCAGCAGAGCCTGCTGGGTGACTGTGAGCCCTGTCCCCAGGGCAGGAAGCAGGGAAACAACAGGAGGGCCTTCTCCAATGCTCAGGTGCCCTTAGGGTGCTGTCACCTGCTGTCTGTCAGCTCAGCATCTTCTCCGGTCGTGTACTGGGGCTGGGAGGGCAGAGTGTGAGGTGGTGGGTGTTGGGGCCATGCACAGCCAGGGCAAACACAGGATGGAGACATGAGGGTCAGTGTGTGCGAGCAGAGAAGCTCAGACTCACCTGGACAATATTGTGGGGGATGGGCCTGGGCCCCAGCCTCAGGGAAGGGGGTTTACATACAGGCTGTTGTGTTATCACCCTCCAGACACATACAATACACCTGCATATGCATGTCTGCATCCTAGTGTGTGTGCATGTACATGCAACACACAACATATCCATGCACAATACACACAGACACACATACATTACACACACATTCTGAACAAATCTTCACTCTCCCAATTAACAAGGTATTATTCCAGGCTTCCAGTTACTCAGAGGGCAACCTATAGAAGCTACAGCAGGCTGAGGTCCCCACAGGGGACATGAGGTCCCCCCCACCCATCACCCCCCCCACACACACATTCTTCTCATGGGGTGAGCATCAGTAAGCAAATCCCTAAGCAGAGCTGTAACTCCAGCCAGGCCCTCTGCAGCTCCCTGAAATCTGTCTCACCTTCCTGGTTGTTTCTTTGCAGATTCATGCAGAGCCCAAGCCTGGAGACCTGATTGAGATTTCGCTCATTGGCTCCTCGCACTGGGCCCTCTATGTGGGCGATGGTTATGTGATCCACCTGGCTCCCCCAGGTAAGGGGGGTTGAAAGTTTAAGTC